CAAGCTTGGAGAATGATCAACATTTACAATTGGTATTTCAGCAACAAATAATAGAAAAGTTTCAATTTCGACATGGAGAATATCGAAATCTCAACCGAATCGGTAAACAATGATTTCAGTCGGAACACAACTAGACGCCGTGTCGATACATATCCAAAATTAAAAGTATATTTAGAATATGTCATCTAACCACTCGTTTTTCCCATACAATGTGTCTGAGGATGAACAATTCCTTCAAAATGCTGCTAACCACTTTTATCACTCCAGGGCCACTCGAAGCTTCAAGATTTTTAAAATTCTTGTAATGGAAAAATTTTAATGTCCATCTGTAATTTTGAAGCATAGTTTTTTCAAGTATGGCAGTTCTGATGTGTTTTATGTTATGTGTATTTGAGGTTGAATTACATCAATTCTGTTTTCAAAACTTTAGGTGAAGTGTACCTAACTAGGAACACTCTTCATTCATCTGTATGATCTAAACACAGATTCTGTAAAGTTTGCAGATTTTTTACTTTCATGAAGTTGTCACAATGTGAATTAATGATAGCATTCATACACCATACCTTTTTGAAACACTACCCAAAGAAAGCCTCTAACGAATTTTTACAAAATAGACCTTTTCACATCGGGAAGTTATACCCAAATTTTTTCATTTTGAAGAAAAACCGAAGTTCTAAAAATGACTGTGACGTCGCTACTATTGAGACTTACGTTCCCTCTTGAACCACGTTCCAAAGTGTTATAATTTTTGTAAAGTAGGGAAGTGCATGAATTTGTACTACTCAATTAAATATCTCTTCAACAAAATTTCAAATATAAAGTTATTGTTTCGTAATATGAAATGCTTTTTAATTTCGGAACTAACCATGAAATCGATCTCAGAAACAAGTTGGCAATGTCGCAGAACAACAGTAATAAAAAAGAAGAAGAAGAAAATCAAACTATAAAAATCAAATGAATAATTTTTATGGTGTTGCCAAGTTGATATGAAATGTAGATGATGTCACGATCACCGTCAGGATTAACGAGGTACTATTTATTATACATGTAGCTTTCACCCATGAGTTTATCCTAAATATCTGTATGAAGGTATTAAAAGCGAAAGAACTAAAAACCAAATAGAATATGGTAGTCAGAATATCATCACAGAGCAGTGCATTACTGTTGATTGGTTGATGAATAGACATTACAGAAAATATCAGTTTTCTTGCTCATTATCCATGACTCGCCAATGAGTTCAACTTCATATCATAACAGTAATTCAAAATATTTCTCTAAAATTGATGAAAGAAAATAGATAATTAAAATAGATAAGTAACTCTCTCAAAACAACTACGAATAGATGTTTCGGGGAAATATTCGTTGAGTAAGTTTTAATGAAAAATAGTTGATCATCATATTTTCATCGTCTTTCAGAGCGCCTCTGTTCCGAATCAGCTTTTTAATGATTGTGTTTTGTCAAAGACTTCATCCTGAGACACATCGTACGAATTGATAGTCCCTAGTTTTAGAAGAAAGTGTCATTTATTGCTTAGTCACACCACAATCTGGTCTCACCGTCAGAAGAGCTATAGATATGCTACAACATTAAACAAATAATAAGACAAAATGTGTAATAGACACAAATAATATAAAGCTACAACTGCGCACATTATATACAAGAGGTAGTGAATCAAATATGAGAACAAGTCCATGATGATGATGATAGATGTAGTAGTTAGCCTAACACATCTAAATATAGTTTTAAAACAAGATAAAAATATGCCCCAAACTTTAATACATTCTTTACACGTCTCGTATAGTGTTGGCAACCGAGCATGATCTTGGTTCTTGCCTTGTCGCTTCCAGTGGCTTGATTTTCATTACTTTGGAAGATCGAGAGTGTTGGTTTTTGTAAAGAAAATTGCAGAACTGAAAAAAAATACTAAAAACTAACCTGAAAACATTTATTACTTTCTGATGATTTCTTTACTTAATTCGGAAGTCTATCAGATAGTACCATGGAGTTATTTAACGAGTGAGTGGTGAATTTTTTGCCAGATTACATAGATGGTGCGGGTTCCAAGTTCTGACGTACACACAAACATTCCTCTATTATTCTTATTAAGAAGACAGAGAGATCATCATTTGGAAGGGTGATAAAATAGAACCATTATGGATTTGACCCCCTGAGACAAACTGTTGATACCTGGACCACTTATTTGTCCACAGCAATGAAATAATAATCGACTTTCGAATTTGGGGTGAAAAATTTATGGTATTTTCGATAAACTATGTTCATTTTATATGTGTGATTGATGACTTGTTTACTTTATGGTAATTCATGATCACTTAAATGAAATGAATGAAAATACTTTTGTCTAAATACCACTGGTAGATTTTATTTATATGACTGGTTTCAAGTATAAAACTGTCTATACTTGATAATGTGGTCAAACCCGAAACCGGTCATATAAATAAAATCTACCAGTGGTATTTAGACTAAAGTGTTTTTATTCATTTCATTTAAGTAACTATGTTCATTTTATTTACTAGGAAATATCATAGGCTTCCTTACCATGATCACAATTATGTCATTTAATGTATTTAATTATAGATTAGTTTAGATTAGATAAGGGTAGGGCTGGTTAGGTAAGGTTAGGTGAGGTGAGGTTAATTATAAACCATATCAATAATATGTTGATTTCAACTTGATTGTGAGATTTATCAGATATGTAACCCTCGAAAGACAAATAAATCAATAAAGTTGTAGCCTTTGAGAAGACAAAAAGACACACTAATTGAGTATTGAAGGAAAATTGACCCAAGGTAGCACTCCAAAACTAAGTGGTAATGAAAAAAACTCTATTTATTGACAGATCTATCAAATACACATTTTTTCATTTAAAAATTTCTTTCTTGGTAAATTTTCAAAGATTTCTTTAGTTGTCTCAACTTCCTAAACTTCTCTCAACAGTTTAGAGAGTTGCTAGTAATTCCACGTGAATATTTCATCAACTCAGATTGATAGCTGATTTACCAAGGAAACAAATCCGAATATACATATGGAAATGTGAAAAAAAAAATGATTTTAGGGTTATTAATCAGAAAAGTATAGACCTTTCGAAAAATTATCCCAATTGATTGATGTCATCTTCAACTGACGCATACGTAGGTATATTAAAGACGAATTTCACAAAATCATTTTACAAATAGTTATTTGAAATAATGAGAACTCTGTCACTCAAAATGAAATGGGCCTCAAAATTCTCTGATCCTTTTTTTTCAGTTTATCATATTCGAAAATTCAAAAGTAGATTTGTTCTCCATTATATACATTCAGTCAAGCCAAACTTTAGTAATAATGAATTATCAATGAAATTACTACCGACTTAAGTTTTTATGAATTATTAATAAAAATATCAAAATACCAACGTGAATTTTGACAATCAACATTTAAGGTTATAGAGATGTTCCATACTCTAGTTTCTAGTTGAAGAAAATTTGGACTATGTAGTAATGATTAATTCAACTTCTGGATGACAGGAACAAAAATTTGGCTTTCCCGATTTTGTAATATGAAGAAAGTAAGGAGTTGTATATTTATAATTCAAAGTAATTCTCATAACTCTTCATGGATAATGTAGGTACAAGTGGAAATCAAAATATTTCAAAAGAGCATGTTTTATGAACATTTTTGCAAATTCCATATTTGAATTTTTAAAGAATAGTCCTTGGCTCGTACAAGTTTTGACTTTTGAGAGTTGTCGTTCATAGGGGGAGCGACAGCTGGTAAAGGGAAAAACAAAAACAGATTTTAACAGTGAGTTTGCAAATATTTTATGAAGATAATTATTTTATAAGCTATAACTTAGCAAAAAGAATGAAGAAAGTACAAATTTCTTTCGGTTTTCGTAAATTTGAGCCAAATTTTTCACACCAAATTCGGCCTATGATGACTTTGCCGCTATGGACAAAAATATAGCCATGATGGTAGTCGTTAGCCTCAAATTCAAAACCATTTCCCTTCATTCCCTAAATAAAACGAAAGAATAATATATTTGTGAGTAATCTGATAACGTTCTGTTGAAAACTTGTATATTTCAATCGATATGTCATGAACTAGCCCTGTTGCTAGTTTTAAAATCTGGTGCACCTTTTGGGCAAATTTTCCTAGACAAATAAAACGAAAAGTTGTATATCCCATGGACATCCAGTGCATGTCCAAATCGGATATTGAATAGGTGTCCATAATATATCCCTCAGCGGACTTGGAATGGATAGAATTTGTATGTTCTATGGACATCCATAAAATATAAAAAAGTAGGCAAGTTTGAAAAATTTCAGTTGTATGTGTGAAGATTTCCTTCAAACTCCATGTGTATCTCATCTGAGTTTGACATTATTTCAGATTTTGAAATACTCAGGGACAATGCTATTTTGTTTTTTTTTTTCGTTGACTGAATATCCCCAAATAGCCAAAACCATTTATATTGAACCATCATCAAAATTTTCTTCTTCTTTACAAGATATTGTCCAGTCTAAAATTTTGTTACTTTATGTCTTGCTAAGATCTACGTGCAACATTTTTTTGTTTTTGGTTTTCTGCTTCTTAAATACAAAACAAGACAAAAACGTTTTTTAACAATGTCTCTGCAGGATATTTCATAGAGGTCCTCGATGTCCTTTATGGACATACAGATTGATATATTGCAGACGTCCATTGGACTTCTATAAGATATCAATCGAATATAAATTGGACGTCCATCATACCTACCACTGAATATCTATTGGATTTCTGTGTTGCCCGGGAGGCTGGCATGTCCCAGATATTTTTCACAGTACAGGACCCAACAACATTCATTTCTACCATCCAATATTGTATTGTACTGGAAATTCAGCTATTGGGTTTTCTTCAATAACGTTTTGCCAACACTATTTTCGATAGATTTATTTTGAAGTTCGAAAGACTCTTAAGCGTAAATATCAGTCATGTAAAGTAACAAATGAAAAAATGATTGCACATTCAAATCGTTTACTATAAAGTTATTGGAGAAATTCAAGCGAGATTGTTATAGCTTTGTATAAAAGTTGTGGGACGCCATATGAAATTTCTTTTTGATATTCCGATAGGTGGTTGAGATATTACCTAATAATTAACTATACCATAGTATGTATATAATATATTATAGAGTAAATTTACAGAATTTAAAAAGATTAGATATATATATACTCCGGCATACAGCAGAATCATCATTCACGCAATCTCCAAGTAGGCGCAAAAGGCCCTCCTCTCAAATGTTGCTAAAAATATTTCTATAATGGCTTACAGATGTGCTGGAGATTCATAGTTTCTGATGAAATTCAAGGGTGGCTTCAACACTGAACTGGTTAACATATATTTGTACATTTTATATACACACCATTTCCAAGGGGGCGTCTCTCGCCTACGGGGAGCTCAGTTAATATTAACCATTTAATATTATAACACAATTTGTACAATGAAAAAAATAAAAAATAAGTACAACTCGTAGCAAGATGTGTTTTTGTCTTAATATTGAATTGAAGGATCTTTTCCAGATTTGCGCCCCATTGAATTTTCGAATTGTACCAGATTTGTTGTTTACATCAAGAACATGAACCTGAAATTGAAATTAGAGTCATTTTCAAAATACACTCTCAGATATTAGAGATTTTGGCCTTTCGAGATATTCTTCAAAAGATCTCATGAGCGAAAACGATAAAGATCATTTTTAATTCCACATCATTTTTAAAGTATTTAATAAATTGCTCTTTTGCCAATAATGTTCATCGATACTAGTGAATAAAAAAACAAAATCAGTAGTACAATAAATTTTTGTTGAATTTTCAATCCCTTTCTCTATTTCATAATTTTAGTGCATGGAAAAATATATATTGGCTTGAGATGATAATGAACTTTATTCAAAATTTAACTTGCATTTGCTGCAATTATTATTAACACTGATTATTCAATTTACCAATTCACTTTCATGTTACTCTGACGAGTTATATTTGAATAGATATACATCTTCTGCTGTTCAAATTTGAAAACATCCACAGATTTTCGAAAAATTATCTTTGGTCAATTTTTATGCTGCCAAGTATCTCTTTGGTTGCACATTCCACCAACAGAATAGACGAGAATAAAATATGATATGATATATATGAGTTTTTCTAGGAACTCGTTTGATAAATCGCCCTTCAAAATCCTTGAAATTTCGCGAGACTTTCAAACAACACCGTTTTGCCGCCAATTTATGACGTAATAAGTACTATGTCCGTAATATTCCTGAGTTGCCAGTTTAACGATTTCACGGAACTTTGATGGAAATGTCAATCACTGATTTCAAATTTGACCCATTTATTGAAATTGGAAGTTATTATATGCATAATGGACAATCATATTTGAATTTGTTCTTCTTGAACAATGATCATCAAACATCAAGGCAGCTTATTTGAATTTTTTATTGAAGTATTGAAATGACTAACTTTCATTTCTACTTTATCTTTTGATTTAAAAAAGCTGTCACAATGTAAATCATTGAAAACATTCTAACAAAAGAATGTACATACATTAACTAATATTTGTAACATGATTTTGTGGATATGTGGATATTGGCGTTCTGCTGATCTAGCTCGTTGTTACATTATTGCCTGATGTGAATTATAATTTCAGAGACAATTTGATAAATCAAAACACCATAAATTTACATCTAGCTCACACGCGACACTTTTTCTTCAATAACGGTGTACCAACAAGCCAATTTCATTTTTCTCTTTCACTTCTTCTCTTTTTTCTTTAGGTTTTCTTGGCCTTTGCTTCCATACGGCGCATTTAGCCACAATTTTATTTTTATTGAACCAGCAATCATCAGGATGCTCGGTATAAACAACAGTGGCTGTGATTGTTATATTATCGAATTAGTATTTTTGAATAAAATAGTTTATCTTAGAGATTCAACTTTTCATGTAGCAATTTTAATATGCAGAAAAAGAAATCAAGAACAAATCGTGTTTAATCTAAAAAAACTGATTACACTAGTGAACTAGACCTGTATTTCGAAAATGAAAAGACCAAGTCAACTTCAATTTCAAAACTTCATAACAAACATTTCTCATCCCTCCCCCCATTTGAAGGAAGGTCGACGAAATCTAGAAAATCCCCCCCAATCGAATACTTTGTTTAATATTAATAGAGAGAAAAATGTACTTATCCCGCACAATTACAATCGGCAATTAAATAGGTATAGCAATATCTTTTGTTTATCTTTATAACTTTTTTATTTAAAACACACATAGTGATGGCGATGACGGTGATGGGAACAACGTATATGAAGATGAGGATGACAAAACAGTGGCGACTGGTGTGTATGGCACGCTCATTATCACTCCACACGTGCAAATTGCCCATGCCCTGCACGCTGTTTCACACTGCTGGCTTCAGTGGTTTGTTCAAGGTCGTTTCGCTATGAGGTTGGAGGTTCGAGATTTGAAGGGGAAGAGAGAATGATATTATTTTCATAAAATTGGCTTCTGACTTTTGAAATAAAAGAGGAACTTTAAAAACGGAATTCAACGTTAGAGTTTGCAATGACAGCATAAAGAAATCCTGTTATCTCAAAAATACATATGAAAAATCTGAAAATGGTTCATTAATCAAAACAGCGATATCATAGATTTTTATGTGTTTTGAATCAACTTTCATCCTGCCAACTATTTTTGATAGCATTCTCCACCAACAGATTAGGCGAGAAATCAATCGCTGTAATTTGCTTGAGATGCGCTTATATTCGAAGTATAATAAAGGTATATTTATATAAGTTTTCCTAGAAGGTAATCAGATAAATCGCTGTTCAAAAACCCTAAAAATTCATGAGACATTAAAAAAAACAGAGTTTGCCGCCATTTATGACGTAACAAGTACTCTAATCGTAATATTCCTGAGTTGCCAGTTCTACGATTTCACAGAACTTAAAGATAAAGAAAATGTCACTTTTCCACTTTCCTTCTGTCAAATGAAACAGAAAATGTGTTGATCTATTCATTAACTAACCGTTATTTCATGCCTATGTGAACTATGTACTTGGATGAAGTTTTTCAAATGTTATTTTATCCGTTTGTAGTGGAATATAAACCCCAAGTGTTAATTTGGTTGATGACAATGAAAAATGGCGAATACAGTTAGTAAGTTCAGTCGTTTTGTTGGTCGATTCATGAGCAAATGAGTCAACTTTTTAAACTGACAGAGCTTTTTAACTGCGATATATTTTCACAATATAAAAGTTATTTAGGTCGCATAGTGGTAAAATATTATTATTATTCAGCTTAAATCACGAAGACAGAGTAGAAAAGAGACATATATCAGAAGAATATTTGATGTGCCGATTTTATAAAAACATCCCATTCATTCTTCTCATCTCGAACATCCCACCTGATCGCGTTCCGAGCTATGCAACAGTATTATTCACACTACCTACTCTACTGGTTACAACCGATAAATACAATGACAGAAACACGTAATCAATGATTTGGTCCGAGCGACCAGCAATAACCATCGATCCAGTAGATATGGAATGTAGTCGGACGCTTTTTCCGGCATCCCGAAGCGATACAAGAATAATAATAATGATAATCAATAACAGTAATATAGCAGTCAGTGTGCAAGAGCGAGGCACGAACACAGCGTAAAGGACAGAGAGAAGGGAAGCAGACCAGCTACTTGTTCCAGCGGTTCCGAAGAACGAGCCCGTCGTCCCAATGATAGGATGTAATTATAACCTAATAAAGATGTAAAATGTTGTCGTCGAGGTGGTGGACGCCACTGCATACGAATCGCTGATCCATCACAGGTAATTCTAAAAAGGAATCCACGTTCAGCAACGTCGCGATCGGCGCGACAAAAGATCATCAGAATATGTATCAATTACATTCAGACTCTCAAAGAGGGTCTCAAGAGAACTCCCACCTGCAGATGGCTGATGTGATGTCCTAGTTGAGTTTAGCTCACGAATGTGCATTGGACTGAGTGTGATTGTGGTCCTGCGCCTTCTCGTCGGTTGACGGTGATGGAGGGGCGTCCTTCCTGGGAGGCATACGTTCGTTTATTGCGTCCAGACCCTTAGCTTCTGCGAAACTGGTGATTTTGTGGTTAGGAGAGAAACCCTGCAATGCTGCAAGAGAAAAAATGAGATTCATATCCAAGGAATTTCCATGTCGGAAAAATTGAGACTAACTTCTGGATTGTGCATGGTTTCAACGCAGACACAATCCAGAAGTTAGTCAGAAAACAAAGCCGTAAATTCACTCACAGATTAATATACCTCCAGATCAAGCAATCAGAAATCAAAAAATGGGTCATTCTTACATATTTTGGTAAAACAACAGAGATAATTGCGGGTTTCTTCAGAAAAAACAATGTGGAAATAGACCACATTCCAGGGTATCTGATTTCCTTTTCAATGTCAAAGGTAAAGTTGACAAGTTAGAGAAATCTGGAGTTCATAAGCCTAAGTGCTCGGAGTGTAATAGTGTTTATGTGGGACAATATGGCTGAATCTAAACGATACGGAAATTTTGCACTATGCAAGGAAGGGTTGCAAACTCAGTTATTTGGAATCCTTGGAAATTCATGAGTGTAATCATTGCGGGTGGAACCTGTTAAAATGATCAAATCGATCTAGTTTACTTACCGGTTTTCGAATTAGCGAATCCACATTGTCACAGGTAAAGAAAATTCAGGTACTCAAGTTGAGTACCTCTGTTATTACCTACAGTAATAGACAATGCAATGATAGGGCAAATGCCTATAAGCATGCTGCACGGTAAGAGGTACAACGAGCTAAACAAAGAGTTGGAAAACGACCCCATAATGGGAATGCCATCGGATGAGATGCTTCCCCAGTATAGCTTCGGAAAAAACTTCAAAACAATTATAACAGGCAGAGAGGCATGGAAGGGAGGACCTCCAATTAATGCAGAGGTTGCCTGTTACACAGACGGCTCAAAAACTGAAGAAGGTGTAGTAGCAGGAATCTATATAACTAAACCAAAGACAAAAGTCTCACTAAGCTTAGGTAAAAAAGTGACGATATTCCAGGCAGAAACGGCAGCAATACGTCACTGCGCAGAAGAGTTACTAAGGCAAAAATTTAAGGGAAAGACTATTGCAATATACTCTGATAGCCAAGCAGCTATAAAAGCAATTAGCTCCATGCAGGTCAATTACAAACTGGTCTGGAACTGCCTAGAAAAGCTACAAGAAGTAGGTAGTCAAAACAGGCTGATTCACTAGCACGAAAACGAGCACGATGCTCCCCCATTGGTCCAGAAGCCTTTTGTGGTACAGCAAAAGCGCTGCGAAAAACTTGTAACAGCAACTGGAAGGAAAAACAATCTCAAAAATGGTGGAATAAGGCGCCGGGTATGAGACAGGCCAAAGAGTTCATTAAAGAGCCATTGCCAAAATTCACGGAGTACCTACTGAGTCTGAATAGGCGATCAACTAGAGTTCTGGTCGGGCTATTGACGGGACACTGTAGACTCAACAAACACATGAACAACATCGGACTGGCAGACACAGCCCTATGCAGGCTTTGCCAAGAGGATGAGGAAACCTCCGTACACATACTATGCTATTGCAAAGGTCTGTCAAGGTTTGCAACATTAGGAGAGGAAAAACCACAACCCTCTCAATATATGGGGAACTTGAGTTCTGGCCTATGGAGTCTAGTTACAAGGACGGTCCTAGACAAGGAACTCTAGCATACATGAGGGCACACACAATAGACCTGCAAAGGTCGCAGTGTAGTGACTGTTTAGCACAGAAGCCTCATATTAATCTAATCTATCACCTACAGTGGTGTTATATAAGGGCTAATGTAATCAATAATTTTTAGTTCAATGTATACCTTTGAAAATGTCCTTATGGGACGAAACTGCAGTAACTTTAGTTACAAATGAAAGTAGTAAAAAACATAGAAAGTTTCAATTCTCATTTTTTATGTAGAAAGTCTGTTTCTTCTGGGAATCCAATGAAACATCCAAAGTTGCATTGATTTTCCAGACCCAAATTCGAAACCAGGACATTACACTATAAAATCTTTGACTAAAATTGGTACCAAAGACCTGAACATATCTTTTTCTCGTCCCCACAGCAAAAATTCTTGGGTACACCGAGTATGTCCCATGTGTAAAAGAGCTATAATTATCTGGTGCCTTCTTCGTAAAACGATTCTGTTCTGTGGTAATATAGACTTTTATCTCAACTCTATTCTGTAGCTCTTTCAATGGGATGGCCAAGAATAGAGAATGTCGGTTTTCACTTGAGACTTGAGAGATTACTTGTAGACATAAGAATTGCATTGGAGTAAAACAATGATATGGGTGGTGGGTTGTGAAGGCTATTTTTAATTCGGATGTATATTGATCGATCCTCTCACCAAAAACAATATTACAATGTTATTCTTTTTCTGTTAAAACTGTGGAATCTGTTGCAGGATACACTTTTTTGTGATCAGTGATATTCAGGATTGGAGAGTAATGATACATTTGTTCAATCTCTATATCCTTACCGGAGTCGATATTATTCATCACGATACAATGCTAAAATTTATGTCACCAAAATATTTTTGTAACGAAAAAAACTCTTCTAACAAATTTTTGGACGATAATGTTTGATCCATGGTTTTTCAAATATTGCATTATTGCTGAGTTATAGACATTCCAATATCCTGAATGCTTGGCTATATTTTTGCAAAATCCAGTAATATTCATCACGATGAAATTTTGCGACTTTTTGACTAAGACTAAGACTTATTGCAGTCATTTTGCAGTTCAAAATTTTTGGTGAATAATGCCTGATCGATGGTTTTTCCAAATACCGCATTATCTATCCGTCGATACTGAGATATTGAAAATATATTTCTTATGATGAATAATACACGTCCCAAGTTTCTGAATGGGCAACGAATTGGAAATTCTTCATACTGCAAAAAAAAAAAATCGAAATTTGCCAAAAATTTGATAAACATCTTCTGGCAAATTTTAAACATGAATTTGACTGTGGTATAGCAGTTATTTATGAAGAAATTATATATCAACGGGTCCTCACTTGAAAATATTTGTTAAAATAGAAAAAAAATCAACCCATCATCAAACCAACCATCTTGTGGTTCAAAAATTGTGCGGGTTGATATTATTTTCGATGGTTTTTCCAAACATTGAATTATTAATAATGAACTGAAATATTGGGAACAAATTCATTATCAAACTTACCATTTTTGAGACTCGTTTTTCCTCCAGATAGCGCTCCCAAAGGTAGAGCACCAGTCGGCGTGAGACCTTTGAGTTGTAGAACAGATTCGCTTTCCTCCCTAAAAAACATGGTAGAATTCATTTCAAAATGTTGTTCAACGAATACTCATTCATCAAAATTAACGTGCAGAAGCAAGGGCAATTTAAATGACTTAAAAATAATCAATTACCTCAATACGGAGAATACTCTAGCCATTTTTCCGATGGCTCTGATCTTATTTCGTATTACTTCCTTCCGAAGATTTGCTGCTGTACCTAGAACCAAAAAGAAAAATCGATAATGAATAGGTCCAAACAATTTACCGAGAGACATCGAAAGTCTAGTTGAAACGTGTTTGCGGTTGATTTATTTTGCCTGATTACTTTGACAAAGTTCATTCTTGAAGACTACATCGTTATCATTTCATTGCTAGCTACTCCACTTTGAATGTTACAATACAAACCTCATCTTCAGGATGATTTGTTAGGATCAAGATGCAATGAAATATTTTGTAGTCACTCTGTGAGAAGATTCTTGATTGCAAATTTACAAAACGTATCAACCATTGAAATAGAATCTCTGTAATTCTTGTGAGACTTGTTTCTAGTGAAGTCGTGTTTTGATAGTTGGTATGAAGATAATGTTACATGCGGAAATAGTTGAGTACATAAGATATAGATACATCTAGCTGCAGTATGAGTACTGTTGAAATTATTATATTATAGAATAATTTTTAGATTAATACGAAGTTATCAACTTTCTGAAAAATTGAAAGAACAAAATATATCGTTAATACAGATTATTATTGCTGAATAATTGAGGCGTTGATAATTTCTAATTAATTTATTCAGTAACATCAACGAATGGTGGATCGGTAGCCTGGTGGGTTGACGTGGGTGAACCGCTGTGTGAATCGGTGGTTTGAACCGCAAGGCCGGACGATCGATTTCCACTTCCCATCGTCCAACCCGTGTTAGGAATCACACGTTAAAAGGTAAGACCTCGTTAGCTCGCACAAGTTTCGATCAGCTGGTTAACGAAAAAACAGATTTCAACAGATAACGTTACAAGCTTTAAACTTTATTTTGCTTGTAGCGTTCATCAATCTTATTTATCGCTTGCTGGTAATACATCTCTGTTTCTATGTATATTGAATAGACATTATTTTAGATATTTTGGGTGAAATCAATAGAAATGTAGATGAATGCAAACACTGTTCGAAAACGTTCATTAACCGAGATAACTCAAACAAATACTTATATCAGTATCACTATTTAGTCCAGTCATTATAGTAAGTTGACCTCGGAATTCGAGATACCTAGCTGTAAGTCTGTAAATACCTGTATATTGACACCCTGAAAGTTGTCTCAAAACCTACATATGGTAGGGTGTAAGCAACTATTAAATTTCAAGGTCAAAGGTCACAAAAAGAGGTTTTTTGCGCTTTTTTTGGAAATATCTCATTTCCTATGGGTTTTTTACTATTTGTATTTATTATCAATATTGTAGAATACAAAATTCTCTACAAATTTTGTTTAAAAAAAATTTTTATACGGTGAACCGTTTTCGAAATAGAGGGCGGAGAGCACGCGGTCACAGCATCACTTCAGGTCAACCGGTGCCTCCGGCCGAAAACGCGCCATATATAGTTGATGAACTATCGATAAATCAATGATTATAAATATTTGTCAATTTTTATTAACTATCATAATATATTTTATCATTTTTTTCCTAACTTATCCACTTTTTATTCAGTATTAATTTATTTAACAACACTTACCTGCCCATGTAATTGCAGAATTGTTAATGAAAATATAGAAATTATATTTGAATTTTTACCTAATTAATATTTATAACTTCTTACATGATGAAAAAAAAAAAAAATAAATAATGAATTAATCTTTTTATTAAAAAATATCATTGAATACATTTATTTTTATTGAAAGTAAAGAAATTGAATAAAGGGTACAAAAACTACAATTTATAATTTTAATCATCTTCTTCCTCTTCATCGTCGTCTTCTGGCTGCTGGTAAATTTCAAACTGGTCTTCATTATCGTCTTCAACGACATTTGTCTCAAGTTCTTCCATGATTTCGGGGTCAAAGGTTCCATCTTCGTTAATGTCGCTCTGATATGGTAGAGCATTGAGACAAGCTTGCCCATTACATTGGCCACAAGCTGAAGAGCATTGCAAGCCCGCTTTCCTGCATCCGCATCGCGTACCACAACCACTCTTGCAGTTGCAGAAAATTGTATTTAGCAAATCTTCTGGAGCAGGTGGTAAAATTGTCATGATAGGCTCCAGAAAATCGTTTCGCATTGCCCAACCCCATACCTGGGGTTCCAAATCATGTCCTAACCAAGTTTGAACTTGATAATATACACGGTTGAAATGTTGATGAGTAGCTGCACTTGTTGGTGGAATATTTGAAAGCTGCACAGGTTTATTAAGTTTTGTAGACTTGACGTAATGCATATAACGAAGATGATCGAGACTTTTCACAGATTTCCGAGTATTATAGACTGCCAATAAGGTTTGAGTTCCACTCTCTAATAATCTAATTTTTTAATTTTAGTAAACGGTTATCAGTATTATTGAATCGATATAGATTTAATGCATGAAGAAAATGATAAAATATAATATAATAGTTAATAAAAATTGACAAATATTTATAATCATTGATTTATCGATAGTTCATCAACTATATATGGCGCGTTTTCGACCGGAGGCACCGGTTGACCTGAAGTGATGCTGTGACCACGCGCTCTCCGCCCTCTATCTCGAAAACGGTTCACCGTGTAAACTTTGTAGAGAATTTTGTATTCTACAATATTGATAATAAATACAAATAGCAAAAAACCCATAGGAAATGAGATATTTCCAAAAAAAAGCGCAAAAAACCGATTTTTGTGACCTTCGACCTTGAAATTTAATAGTTGCTTACACCCTAGCATATGTAGGTTTTGAGACAACTTTTAGGGTGTCAATATACAAGTATTTACAGACTTACAGCTGGGTATCTCGAGTTGCGAGATTCTTACCTAATTTAAGCTTAAATGACTGGATTAATTTTCTACATCACGAGGAAGAAATTACAAAAAGCGATGGCCTTCAAACCCGAAAAATAGTGATACTGAAAACCTCGGCCGCGAAAATCTTAACCATTTTGTCATACCTGCATGACTTGACTTAATTTTTTGAGAAAAATGAAAATTCACCTCATTTTGTGAATAGAGGAGTACTTAAGAACGTCAATAACGGCATCTTATTTATCGGTTTTATGTTTTTAACCATACATATTCAACTCTGGTTATAATAATAATAATAATACGTCCTAATTCACCGACACAAAAGACAAGAACTACTTTTTTTTTAATGGAGCAGTATTAGACTCTCAAAAACCTTCAAAGTTAGAAGGTCGGTAAAATTACAAAAAAGTTGCGTGTTTCAAATGTGTACTGAAATCGAAAAAGTTATCAGGTCAACTTTTTTGTAATTCAAGCTTTAACATGATTCATCAACATAGAGAATGAAGTTTACCAGGAGGTCAAAAATGCTTTTCAATCATGACCTATATGGTCTTACCAATGATGAAAAAATATTATTAAGTTCTTCAATGATCGCCAAAAGAGGAGTTCCTAGAAATATTTCAAAACGCAAGGCATATGCAGTGTTAAACAGGATGTTTCAAAAACAATGGGTACAACTAACTCAACTCTACTGTTTTTTTCTCTCCATTCTGTATTAACATCTCATTCTGAAATGAAATTCACAAAAAATGTGAAACTGAACTAGTCAAATACGTCAAAATAAACCTTTACATCATATACCAGAAAGTAGTTGTGTTGAGCAGATATACAGCTTTTTATTCTGAAACGGCAAAATTAAACAAAATTCATTGTTATACCTTGGCGGCAATTATTATGCCTTGATATAAATTGATATGGCTTGAGAAAAATTATTATTTTATGCTTCGAAGGAAATTATGTTTATGTCTTGAGGGCAACTATTGAGAAAAATAATTGTGCCTAGAGGGAAATTATTTCTATGCTTTGACAGAAAGTATTGTTATGCCTTGAGGGAAATCATTTTCATACCTCGAGAGAAATTATCATACCTTGACGGAAGTTATTTTTATGTCTTGAGGAAAATTATCATTTTCATGTCTCAGGGGCAGTTATTTTTATGCCTTGAGGAAAATTATCATTTTTATGACTCGAGAGCAATTATTGTTATGACTTGGGGGTAATTTCTATGCCTTGATAGAAATCAATATGCCTGGAAGAAAGTCATTATTATATGCCTTGAAGAGAATAAGTTTCATGCCTTGAAGGCATTCATTTTTATGCCTCGAGAGAAATAATCATACCTTAACGACAGTTATTTTTATGCCTTGAGAAAAATTATAATTTTTATGCCTCGAGGACATGACTTGGAGACAATTTTTATGCCTTGATAGAAATTAATATGCCTTAAGGAAAACATTATCATATGCCTTGAAGGAAGTCACTTTTATGCCTTGAGAGCAATCATTTTATGTCTTGAGAGAAATTATACCCAGACGGCACAGACGGCAATTATATTTATGCCTTGAAGGAAAATATTTTTATGCCTTGAAGGAAAGTATGTTCATGTCTTGAAGGCAATTTTATGCCTTGAGAGAAATTATTCTTATGCCTTGAAAAAAATTATTTGTATGCCTCAAGGGCAAGTATTTTTATTCCTCGAGGGCAATTGTTACGCCTCAAGGGGAATTATTATGCATTGGGGAAAATCATCATAAATATACCATCTGTTTTCGAAACATCCCGTAAAATTCCAACAGTACCCATAATAAAGAGAGAAAAAGGAAGCGATAAAATTCACAGCTAAGGCAACTTACCGAAATATTAGGTTGTCAGCGACGCCATTCGTGGAGAGATCGACAGCAAATGGGCAGTGGCACAAAGTGTAGCGAGCGCAGAAGTATAGAAAAAATAAAACAAACGGTGCATATAGGAATTAGCTCATACAAAAACATCGAAAAAAAATTTCGACAGAGAGGAATACACCTCCGTATTTTTTCTTCGTATAAATATGCGGTTTTATCAGTGCAAAAACAATTATGTTTTTTTGTCACGTAGAAAAATCCTACCATTTTTTTGATGACCTTGTGTCGCCAATTGAAATTGATGTACACTCAGCAATATTTGCTGATAATATTTCAAATTGGTGGATCAACAGTTCATCTTTTCATCAGATATGTCTTTGCACCGAAAAAACAAAG